GAGGCAGGAGACTCGCTTGAGCCCAGGAGTTGGAGGTTGCTGTGAGCTGTGATGCCATGGCACTCTACCCAGGGAGTGACAGAGCTTGAGGCTCTGTCTCAAAAAAAAAAAAAATTAATTCATATGTTACCCATTTGTGCAAGATGTTGATATTCAATGGCATATTTAACACATTTTTGGATGAGTAGTAATGATATTTTTTATTACAAACTAAGAATTTACTTCATGATATTTTTATCCGTTTTTCTAAGCACCTTTTAAAAGAAAAATTGTGATTTAGAAATTAGGACAATAGTGGCTTTGAACTGCATATAAACTACAGCAAATCAGCTAGGCTTTTTTTTTTTTTTTAACGAAAAGAGCTACGTAATTTTCTTTTACATGAAATTTTAAAGCAAATTTTTTGTTAAGGAATAAAATAAATCATTCATCCAATAATGGTAAACTGACATTTTATTTTAAAATAATGTTTGACTAAAATAATGATTTTCATACTGTCAGTGCTAAATATTTTATTTACATTTTAAAATTATAATAGATAAATGAGAAGACAGAAGACTACTATGAAAACCTTGGTCGAGCTCTAGTTTTGTGGGACAAAATTATTAACTTAAAAAATGTCATTTATGAGTGGATGGGAAAAGCCCTTCAAGAAATGGAATTACAGTCACTGTCTGAAGAGGACAGAGAAAGGCTGAAGGTAATTTAACAGAATAAAATAGATTTTATTTTTTGTACACAGTTGACATTTTAATATCCAGTTTGCTTTCCAGGTACTGAGTAGAAAAGTTACAAAGAAATCTTATTTCTTTCATTATCTTTTGAGAGAGATATGAATTCTATTTTTTCCTTTGTGATATCCAGGGAAATGTTGGCAAGTAATGTTATTAATCTAGGGTTTATAGATAAAATGACATTGGATGGGAAAAGATTGCCTCCTAATGTAAATAAATGTCTAACTAGGGTGGCACCTGTGGCTCAAGGAGTAGGGTGCCATATACCAGGGATGGTGGGTTAGAACTTGGCCCTGGCCAAAACTGCAAAAAAAAAAAAAAAAAGTCTAACTAAAATGTAACGTTTGTTTCAGTCATGCATGTAATAAACAAACATAGGAGCAGGATCATATATGACTTTGTTATCAAGAAAATCACAGGTCTGGATATGGTGCCTCACCCCTGTCACACCCAGCACTTTGGGAGATTGAGGTAGGAGGATGGTTTGAGACCAACCTGGACAACATAGCCAGACCCTGTTTCTAAAAAAAAAAAAAAAAAATCTGGGTGTGGTGGCTTATACTTGTAGTCCCTCCCACTTACTCAGGAGGCTACGCTGGGAGGATTGCCTGAGCTGGGAGTTAGATAGTCCGCAGGAGCTAAGATCACAGCATTGCTTCTTTAGTTGGGCAACAGAGCAAGACTGTGTCTCTAAAATAAAACAAAAACACCCAGATATTTTTGGATCATTTTCATTTGTTATAGTTATTACTGTTATAGTAGATCTATTGCAACACCTTGAAGGTATTAATAGAGATACATGTAGTAGTGCAGTAATATATATCACAAATTGTTTTAATACTTTGGTAACTATATGGCAGTGTTTCCATTGTAATCCTATGTAATTTATTTTTATGTTTTATTTTTAAAGTATTATTATGCAAAGAGTCCGTAGTTGTCACCAGATTGCCAAAGGGGTTAGTAGTATAAAAAAAGTTAACTCTTAGCAGAATCCCCATCAAAATGCATAATTATTTCCTGGTGGTTATCTAGATCCCATGTGTCAGCAGACTTTTTTTCTTAAAGGGCCATATAGTAAATATTTTAGGCTGTGGATCATTCTGTCCCTGTTATAGTTGCTCAGCCTTGCTGTGGTAGCATGAAAATAGTGATAAATGCTTGAAAGCAGCTGGGTTTCAATAAAACTTTATTTACAAGAAACAGGCTACCAGTCCTCAGGCTGTAGTTTTTTATCCTCTGATCCAAACCATGATTTTGGTCAAACTTCTTCATTATGTGAATTAATAATACTAGTTAAAGATTAGAAAAAACATAAAGCTGAGTATCCTCATCTTTATAGTCCTTTATAAACAACTACTTCTAGGGCAACACCTGTAGCTCAGTGAGTAAGGCGCTGGCCCCATATACCAAGAGTTGGGGCAGGTTCCAACCCGGCCCAGCCAAACTGCAACAACAACAACAAAAAATAGCCGGGCTTTGTGGCGGGCGCCTGCATTCCCAGCTACTCAAGAGGCTGAGGCAAGAGAATCGCCTATGCCCAAGAGTTGGAGGGTGCTGTGAGCTGTGACGTTACGGCACTCTACTGAGGGCGATAAAGTGAGACCTGTCTCTAAGAAAAACACACAAAAAAACAGCTACTTTTAAAAACAGTCATTGCCAGTTGTGTCACATGGAAAGGATCAAAATTATCTTTCTTTTAACTCTAGGGAGAATTCTTTCTAGTAACTCATTTGTATACACGTTATTAGTTTGGATCATATAAAATCACTGTCTTGCTCGGTGAGAAAACAGTCAACTGTTGGCAGTTGTGTGTGGTTTTGTGTGATATAAAATGGATGCTAATGCTTCAAATATTATTCTGACTGAGATTCTTGCTATTTTATTCACTTTTTAATGCGTGTATTTATTTTTCTACATTTGGAAAAAGTTTGAAAAATATTTGGAGATTTCCCAGTTTCCTGGATATACATATCATGATAGTTATGAAATTAAAACTATGATTTTTTAAGTATAAATGAATCATTTCTAAGAGTCTTTTAAGTTTGGCTTGAATTACAGTTTGTTTAAAAGTCTGCAGTTAAGGATGATAAACTGAGCAGTCTGTGGGCCAGTTTCTGCCAAAGTTCTGTCTGTATGCGTGTGTTAATGCTCACATCGGCTCTTTACATACACATATCTACACAGCCTTCCGGCAGGTCATCTTTTGTAGCATAAGTCTTGTCTCTCTCTATTGCAGTGTTTTTTAGCATTTTTCATCTCATGGCACACTTGAACCTATAGTTAAACTTCCATGGCACACTTAAATTATGTTGATCAAAAGAAAAAAAGAGTAAAAAGAAGAATATACTTACTGTGCTTTAAACTTCTTTTGAAAATAATTTAATTCATGATCTTTAAAAATTTTTGCAGCACACCTAAGATCTTCTCACAGGACACCAGTGTGCTGCAGCACACAAGTTGAAAATCACTGCTCTGTTATCTTAGCTAAAAAGACACTCATGTGTGGTGGCTCACATCTAACTAGCACTTTGGGAGGCTGAGGTAGATAGATTGCTTGAGCTCAGGAGTTTGAGATTAGCCTAAGATCCTGCCTCTGCTAAAAAAAATAGAAAAAACTAGCTGGGTGTTGTGGCAGGTGCCCATAGTCCCAGCTACTCTGGAGGCTAAGGCAGGAGATCACTTGAACCCAGGGAGCTAGGCTGACACCACTTCCCTCTACCCAAGGCAACAGAGTGAGATTCTATTTCCAAAAAAACACTAGGTTGTAGTATTTGCCTAACCCCTAATTGCACTTAGGTTTTGTTACAACCCCTCGGGCCCCTGTGGCCCTGGTCTCAATCACCCAGGAAGGAACCAGGCGTGAGGGGATTAGAAATACAAGCTAGTAGGAGGCGGGCTAGCCCTTCCTTGCAGGGTAGCCCCAAGCAACCTCAGCACCAGCCTTTTATTGAGCCCGTACAACAGGGGTGAGGGGAGTAATTAACAAATGACTAAGTACTGAAGGCTTGGGTTCTTCTTCCACAAGGAGCACCTGTGTTCGAATGACCCAAGGGTCCACCCGTCAGCTGCAGATCGTCTTGTCTTGGCGTCCTCTACAAGATTTGTTACTTTGGGAACTCTGTCAAGAAACAAGGAATTAGGGGAAATTAAAGGGCTTTCTTGGTTTTTATATATCAATAATTGTAATTGTGGGTTTCAGAAAATAAGGTAAGAAGCACAAAGCTATTATCATTTACAAATTGTGTTTTAGGAGGAGTTACAAGTCCATGAACAAAAAACTTCAGAATTTTCTAGAAGAGTGGCTGAAGTACAGTTTCTGCTTCAAAGTAGTGAAATACCTCTTGAATTGCAGGTAAGAGAATTTTTATTTAAAAGTCCTAATTAGCTGGATGTGGTGTCTTGCACCTGTAGTCCTAGCTATGTGGGAGGCTGAGACAGGAGGATTGCTTGAGTACAGGAGTTCTGGGCTTAGTGCACTATACTGATTGGGTTTCTGCACTAAATTCATCATCAATATGGTGACCTCCCAGGAGTAGGGGGCCACTAGGTTGCCTAAGAAGGAGTGAATCGGCCCAGGTTGGAAACCGAGCAGGTCAAACCTCCCATGCTGATCAGTAGTGGGATCGCGCCTGTGAATAGCCACTACTATCCAGCCTGGGCAACATAGTGAGACCCTGTCTCAAAAAATAGATAAATAAAAAATAAAGAAAAAATAAAAAAATAAAGCTCTTAATTAAAGATTCTCTGTAGCCTCTAAAATAATGTTCATAGACCATGTATTCTAAATCTGAAAACCTAAAATAAAGTTAGGATTATTATTTATTCAATTTCCATGTTAAGTCTAACCAAATTTTTAACAGTTGGAGCTTTCTCTGTCTTTGTTTCTGGGATTCTTGAAGAGTGAATGTAGTACATAGTACTGTAAACACAAAGGGTAATTCAAGCCGGCCTTGAAGATGGTTTGCGGTGCATATGTTTAAGCAAATAATGTACAGATAAATTTGGGGGTGGGTGGGGCTGAGGGGGGCACTGATCTATGCTTGACATAAAGAACATCTATTTCCTTCAAGCTCCAAATCTTAATAGATAAATATGCATTTTTTCATTTTAAACGTGAATATTTTTGCATATTTTAATTTTGCTTAATTTTATAGTCCTCACGTGTGAAGGGGGAATTATCGCTCCCACGTAGAATAATAATGTTTTCTTATGAGTGTTTAGGGCATAGGTAGGAGAATATGGCTGCAGTGATTCTAGGTATTTTTAAATGCTAGATGGGAAAACAGAGAGGGCCCCGTGGTATGAGAGATTTGTTTCAGTTTTATTTGGATCAAAGAGCACAGTGTTGGCTCTGACTGGGTGAGATGGTTCTGGCTGCACTGCCTACCAGCTTTGTGATCCCGGACAAGTTACTTCACCTTCTTAAATGTCACACTGAGTATAGCTAGATGCTGGCTATTTAATTTTTTCTGTATGTTTTCATCTCATCTATATGTTTAATCTCACGAGTGTCACTAGACAACAGCTCAGCTGGGATGCTAAAGGAAACTTATTTTAGGGGAAAGGATTCACATTAGTCTCTTGAGAAAAGACTATCCATTTCACTTTTGTCCATGTTATTCTTTATTCCTTTAAATGCAACATAAGAATTGTTACATCAGCCATGTCGAACAATGAGAAAGAATTTATTTCACATTGAAATGAAACTCTCAATTCACTCTATAGCAACACAGTTGTCTTAAATCTTGCTAAATAATGCCCATTACAGTACTTCTCATGTTTCCTGATTTCAGGTCATGGAGTCCTCTGTTTTAAAAAGGATGGAACAAGTAAAAAAGTGTTTCACAGGAGGATCTAACTGTTCTGTGCTCAGTGGCAGCACTGCCGAGCTAAGGGAGGATCTCGACCAAGCCAAGACGCAAATTGGGATGACCGAATCCCTCTTAAAAGCCCTGTCTCCTTCTGACAGCCTGGAGATCTTCACTAAACTAGAGGTGCTACTAACTGCTTGTCATTGTGTCCAGATTTATTTTCACTATTATTTTCAATAGTCTTGACCTCTTGAGTTTAATATACATAAAAGAGAAGGAAAGTTTGAGAAAAAAAAAAAGCTCAGTAAAGAAGATTGGGTCTCTTTAGCATTTTCATCTTTGAATTGCTCTGTGGACAATAATAATAATTTGATATTGCATTATAATTGTATATTTGCCAGCAGACAGAAAGCAAATCCACTCAAGAGAAAAATCATCTAGATTTCTACAAAATGACCGAGATCTAATATGCTTTGTATAAAACTGAGCCTGTTTTAACACTTAATGGCAATGTATTCAGCCCTATTATGAGACTAGTTTATAGCTTTCATACAAAAGCTATAGTCCAATTATAGCCCAAGAATATGGGGGAGAGGGAGAGGAGGGGAAGGGGGAGGATGGGTGGTGGGAGAATGATTGGTGGGACCACACCTATGGTCCATCTTACGAGGGTACATGTGAATCTTTCTAAACGCAGAATATAAATGTCAACACAATAACTAAGAAAATGCCATGAAGGCTATGTTAACCAGTTTGGTGAAAAATATTTCAAATTGTATATAAAACCAGCACACTGTACCCCATGACTGCATTAATGTACACAGTTATGATTTAATAACAAAAAAAAAAAAAAACACTTAATGGTGGTTGTTTGCTTGTATATTTAGGAGATACAACAGCAAATTCTACAGCAAAAGCACAGTATGATATTACTTGAGAATCAAATAGGTTGTCTGACTCCTGAACTCTCTGAATTGAAAAAGCAATATGAAAGTGTCAGTGCTTTATTTAACACCAAAAAAAGTGTTTTGCAAGATCACTTTTCTAAGTTATTGAGTGGTGAGTGCAATGTTTCTCTTTCTTTGTTTCTTTGTTACTGGGATTCTTGAAGAGTTAATATGTAGTACATAGTGCTGTGAACACAAAGGGTAATTCAAGCCAGCCTTGAAGATGATTTGTGGTGAATATATTTAAGGAAATAATATACAGATAAATGGGGCGGGGGGGGGTTGGGAGAAGCCACTGCTCTATGCTTGACATAAAGAACATCTATTTCCTTCAAGCTCCAAATCTTTATTTCTTTCATGAAAATAAGTCACCAAGATTGTAGTGTCCGAGCTGCTCACTGTGATGAGTCTGGGGACATAGTTGTGTGCAGGCTGCCCTGAGCAGTGTCTTTGGGTGTCTTAAATTCTCAGAAAGGAGTTTGGTGTAGAAGATACACCTTAGTTACTTTCTAGGTTTTAAATTGAGTGTTAGATTTTACTAGCACTGTATACAATGGCTTGTACTCATGGCCCCGAAAGCAAGTTCTAAAATCTTGCTCTTGGACAAGGAATATGAAGTCCTCCTTGAATGAATAGAGCTGCTTTTTTTTTTCTTCCTGCAGATCAATGCAAGAACTTTAATGACTGGTTCAGCAACATAACAATGAACCTTAAGGAGTGTTTTGAATCAGCAGAAACAAAAAAGAGTGTGGAACAGAAGCTACAAAAACTTTCTGTAAGATACATATATATATAAATTTTAATCAAAATTTATCAAAACTAAAATATTGGTGGCATAGAATTGTATTTAAGTAGATAGGATGATAATTACTTTGACTTACTAATTACTGAAAGATAATATTCCCAAATAACTTGGTTTTCCCCATATCATTTTGAAACTGCGTTTACTGGGGAAGTGTGAAAGTGGCTTCCACATGCCCACCTCTACACTCATTCCAAGGTGCTATTTAATTTAGTGTTCACAGGAATTCATTGGTGTTAAAATTATATTAGATAAAAAATAAAGACTTTACCTAATTCAGACTTTAAAATCCCCTTATTTTCTTAGATGAGGTCTCTTGACTCTTTGTACCTTTTTTCCCAGGTATATTTATTTTAAAAGCTACAGTTGAACTTTAATACTCGGCTCCTTGGAGGGTAGTTTGAAATAAAAGGCAATGTACTGGGGGCATTTAAAATGTGTCTGGTTGGCTCGGCACCTGTAGCTTAGCAGCTAGGGTGCCGGCCACGTATACCGGAGTTGGCAGGTTCGAATCCAGTCCGGGCCTGCCAAACAACAATGACAACTACAGCAAGAAAATAGCCAGGTGTTGTGGTGGGCACCTGTAGTCCCAGCTACTTGGGAGGCTGAGGCAAGAGAATCACTTAAGC